AAGACGCTGATGACCGACGCGTCGAAGCTGGCTGCGACAGAGGAGACCGCTGCGTTGGCGTGCCAGGAGTGATTCGATCTTCGGGCGGCCATTTGGGCGGCAGCCGAGTGGGAATGCATGGGCGACGAGCCGTTCCTCTAGACAATGCGAACGGCGAGGGGCGCCGTCGACGTGTTCAAGGAGGGCTCGACGTTCCGGGCCGAACTGATGGTCCAGGACGACTTCCGGAGCTTCGCCAACTCCAATTTCAAGCCGGGCCAGATCAGGAACAAGCTGGCTACGCGGTCCGAACTCGAGAGCCCGCGCGCCAAACTGCAGACGAAGACGGTAAGTATCAAGAGAATGCGCGCCGCTAGGAAGCCCGCGCAAACCCTGAGCTTCGCAGGGGGGTGAAACCGCGGCCGCGCTCTGATCATTCCCGAGGCAGCCAGTGCGATGCAAGTCTGTAGAGCATCTTCGGGTGGCGAAGAGTGTTAGGCGTGCTTTGGGGCGTACTTGCAGGGTATCGACAGCGGATGGTCAGCGCGGCGCTGGCAACGCTCGAGGTGGCTCCGTTAAGACCTTCTCATGTATCTCTGGGGGCTTCTTGGGTCTTCCATTCTTGGAGCAACGCAACTTTTTCGGTTTAAAGCTTTGTTATAATTTGTTAAAAGCCAGTTTTCGGCCGTTTAATAAAGTTGCTGTTTTGAAGAGTGTTTCTCAGAAGGGCAACGTTTTGTTTGTTTCCCCCCCATCTTCTTCTTCTGCTTCTTCTTCTTCTCTTTCGAGATGCCATGTTCAAACTCGTTAAAAATCAGGCTCGGTCTGGAGTTCAGTGAAAATGCGACATCATGACGAGTTTGGTTGGGAACGAGGGTGGCGTTGTTTACGATGATGATCGCATTTGAATTTACATATCGTTCTAGATCATTCTTTATCCCGTGCCCACCTGTGAGGCAACGTGCCACCTTGCCGCCAGGTGATTAGACGTTTCGCTTGGGAGCTGGCTCTCCCGGCGTCGTGCGGGGGCCATCGTTGCGCTTTTCCCCCACTGGCCCTGGCAGTTTGACCGCTTTTGGCCTCTGTGGAGGTTCTCTTGGAGGTCCCTCGGCTTTCGGGGCTTCTTAGGACCCCGTCGCGGCCCTCTTGCAGCCGCGGCGGGCCCGAAAAATTCATCGAACCTTTCGCAGGCATGACCGCCAACCAGGTTTTGGTGAATTTCCGGCCATCTTGGGAGCGTCCGAGGAGAGGTTGCTCGGCCATTTGAGGCCGTCTGGGCAGTCCTTTGGGCAGTCATGGACCATCTTGGGGCCACCTTGACACCTTCGTGTGGCAATCTTTGGACCACCTTGGGGTCAGCATTGGTCCGCCTTCCAGCCCATTGGGGTCCGCAGACCCCCTAAGGTCCGCGCCGGCGCGCCGACTAGGTGTCGAGACCCTTCGAGTGGCGGTGCCCCTCCTCCAGGATCTGACCCGCCAGTGGCCCTTCTGACTTGCGCAGCCCAGCGTAGTGCATCTTCGTGTGCATGGGGCGATGACGATGAGAAACTTGGCTTGATGCGGGCTGAACTGATTCTGGCAGAAATAGCCCAGCAAAACCCCGCTTACGTTAGCCCTGGCTAGGCAGAGTGGAGCTGGCCTTGGTGTAGCTTCGGCCATTGTAGCGTGAATTGGCTGAACATCGTGCTGAGTTTAATAACGCGTTTGGGCCCATCATGATTTTGCAGCATGCTTTAGTCCCCAGCTTTGTCAATTTTTGGCCCTGTTGGTACTGCTTGGAAGCCAGCCGGGGCCCTCTCGCAACTAACTTGGAGGCGTTGCACATACTATGGTGTAATCGATGTTATGTAAGCTAGGAGGAGTGAGCTAGGAGCTATTAGCTGTGCGGTGCAAGCTATGTCATGTAAGCTATGCTGTGGCAGATCTGTGTAATGCACGCGATATTGTGTGACTTATGAGGTGCACGCTCCGCTGTGTAAATTATGTTGTGTACGACATGCGATCACATATACGTGGCATGATATATGCTATGCAATTTGAGGGGGTGGAGCATATGTTGTACAAGCTGTATGCTGTGAGCTATGTGCTTTGAGGCATGCAGTGCAAAGTGCGTTATGTAAGCTATGCGGTGTAAGTTATGTGATGTGCAAGTTATGTTGTGCAAACTATGTATTGTAGTGTCAGCCATGTGACGTGAGCCATGTTCTGTGATGTATGCGGTGCGAGCCAGGTGGTGTAGAAAAGAGAGAGAGAGAGAGAGACATAAAGAAAGAGCGAGATAGAGAGAGAGAGAGAGAGAGAGAGAGAAAGAGAGAGAGAGAGAGAGAGAGAAAGAGAGAGAGAGAGAAGTATACAGAGAAATATATATATGTATATACATACTACTATATATGTATGTATAGGAAGACATAGAAATATAGAGAGAGATATAACGATAGAGAGAGAAAACACAAAACAACAGCAAGGGAGAGACAGAGAGAGAAATATATAGAGAGAGAGAGAACACATAGCGAGAGAGAGAGAGACATACTATGTAGAGAGAGAGAGAGAGAGAGAGAGAGAGAGAGAGAGAGAGAGAGAAAGAGAGAGAGAGATAAAGAGATAGAGAGAGAGAACAAAGAGAGAGAGAGAGAGAGAGGGAAAGAGAGAGAGAGAGAGAGAGAGAAAGAGAGACATAGAGAGAGAGAGAGAGAGAGAGAACAATGAAGAAAGAGAAACACCGTAAAGAGAAAGAGAGACAGAGAACATGATAATCCATGCGGTGCAAGCCAGGGTGCGCCCACAGGGCACCCACGAGCGGGCACGGGCCGGGATTGGGGGAAATTCGACGCGCACCGTCGCCAAACTATGCGGCACTGGCCACGCCCCCGCCCGCGTGCCGGATCCACGGACCTTTCATCCATGTCAGCGTGCACCCGACGGTGGCCGAGTGTCCTCCTCCTCCTCCTCCTCCTCCTCTTCCTCCTCCTCCTCCTCCGCCTCCTGCTCCTCCTCCTCCTCCTCCTCCTCCTCCTTGCGCTCCCTGAAGCTTCCAGAAGCTTGCGAACATTTCGAGCCAGCAGCTTGGCCGGCTGCCTCTGTCAAAATTGCGTCCTCTGCGCCGTGCGAGCCCTGCTTCGCGACGCGTGGCGCCCCCGGCGCGACGCCCGCCCCCGCCGTCCCCGCCGCCCCCCCGCGGCCAGCCGACGCCCCGCCGTGCCGGCCAGGCCCCGCCGCGCCCGCCGCTCCCGCCGCGCCCGCGCAAGCCGTCTCCGAGCCTCCGCCCTGCCGGCCGCGCCGTCGCGCCGCGCGGGGAGACGTAAGACCCGGGTACAGGGGACTCGGAAATCCCCGACGAGGTCGTCAAAAAATGACGAGGCCGAGCCTGCATTTTGACGAGGCCTCCCGCTGCAGACATCCCACGAAACTCCTCCTCGTCAAAATCCGAGTCGCGGTCGTCAAAAAAAAATGGCGAACCCGAGTCCTGGCAAACCCGGGTCTTACGCCCCGTAAGACCCGGGTTTGCCAGGACTCGGGCTCGCCATCGTTTTCTGACGACCGCGATGCGGATTTTGACGAGCAGGAGTTTCGTGGGACGTCTGCCGCGGGAGGCCTCGTCAGAATGCAGGCTCGGCCTCGTCACTTTTGTGACGAGACCTCGTCGGAGATTTCCGAGTCCCCTGTGCCCGGGTCTTGCGCCCCCCTGAGGCTGAGCCGTCTCCGCAGCGGATCTGGGACAGGGGCGGCCCCCGCGCCGCGCCATACAGCGGCCGCTCCCTCTTGCAGGCGGCCAGCCGCGGCGCGGCGGTGGACGGAGGCGCCCGCCGCCGAGGGGGCCGGGGCGCCGGCGGCGCGAAGAGGGCGTTGGCGCGAGACGGAGGAGAACCGAGGAGCAAAGAGAGAGGAGGAGGAGGAGGAGGATACAGAGGAGGAGGAGGAGGAGGAGGAGGAGGAGGAGGAGGAGGAGGATACAGAAGAGGAGGAGGAGGAGGAAGAGGAGGAGGAGGAGGAGGAGGAGGAGACCCAGTGTCCCTCGGTCTCGAGTCGGACAGAGCAGGGAGCAGCGCCGAGCTGCTATGCAGTGGGTTGTGGGCCCTCAGAGCGAGGATCACCGGCGTGTTGCCGTAAGGGCCGTGGCCCTGACAGCACGGAGAAAACGTGCGTGGTTTGATTTTCTGGGGGAGGCAGGATTCTTTGGACTCGCTGGAGGCTTTGCATCGATCGTGGAAGCTCTCGACCGCATTCCACTTCCTCAGCTGTGTTCGGCGCGCTCGCCTCGAGAGTGCCACTGGCGTGCCGCTTACACAGCTCATCTCGTAAGACGCCCAGGTGATTGACAGGTTGTATAGTTGTGGGACGATGTGTTTGGCAATGACGGGGACAGGTAATTTGGTACCCGCATCCTGGCCTATGAGCGCATGGGGCTGCAATCTGCGTTTGTTCGTAGCCAGACGGCAGCACCATTTGTGTGATGCCATGTCTGGGCTTCCGCAGGAACGGATGCCGCTACTGGCAGCAGAGCGTGAAGCCGATGACGAGGCCGCAGTCCAGCTCATCTTGTCTCTGGTGTTGTCCCACTGCTTGCAGATTCGTTTCACGTGCATCTAGCCCTGTTGATCAGACCGTCTAATCGATCCCCATCTCCACGGGGCCATGGGATCATAGCCCCACCATTTCACCCCCCAAGGCGGGGGTGTGCCCCGCGAAACCCGAAGGGAACAGTATACATCCCCATCTAGGGGGGTTACATCGGCCAGTGGGACCAAGGCCATGTCAGTGGGGATGGGGATCGGTCGAATGATGCTCAGTTGATATATCTTACCATGCTGTGCCCCCTGTGATCGTCCAGGAGGGGTTCGTCGAGCTGGTGGCGCATATGTAGCGCTCTTCTGCACCACCTCTCCAGTCTTGCTGCATAGCAATGGGACGTATGATGTGCAGAATGGTACAGCACCGTGCCAGGGTTCAGCATCTAGCAACGACGTAGCACATCACACTGAAACTCATGCCGACGCAATGCACCGCAATGCGTCACCTTGCATCGCGCTGCAGTGACTTCGACGACCCAGCACCCAGCGCGTCGATTTGTGACACAGCGCCGAGCTGTGTACGGCCGCACGCGAACGAGTGGATGCAAGCGAGTGCAGCCGATTCTGGCCTCGTGCGGTGAGCGTGCAGCGGGAGGCGGAGGGTGAATGAGGTTGAGGGTGAGGTTGAGGATGAGGCAGAATTATTCGAGCCTCTTCCATACAGCACATACAGGCTGCCAGGAGGCCTGCTAGATTGGCCCAGACAGGCCCAAGAGGACCCCTGGAAGACAGCAACAAGATGTAAGTGTTTGTTTTTGTTCCTTGGGGTTCTTGCTGGTCCCCTCCTCTTCTCTCTTCCTCGTCTTCCTCGCCCTCCTCGCCGCCTTCGTCGTCTTCGCCCTCCTCGTCCCTCCTCCTCCTCCCCCTCGTCCTCACATTCATCTTGACTCACTCGTGGGATCATACGTGCATGGACATCTGCGAGGGTGCGCCGCTGGATCTCCCCAGGGGGGGGGGGGGGGTAGGACCCCCCCCCCTTCCCCGATCCGTCGTCGGGGACCCCCCCCCCCCCCTTCCCCGATCCGTCGTGGGGACCCCCCCCCCCCCCCTTTCCCCGACCCGTCGTCGGGGACCCCCCCCCTCCCCCCTTTCAAAAGGGGGGGGGGGGCCGAACCCCCCCCCCCCCCCCTTTCGCCACGCCGCCCCTTGACTCCGGAACCCGACTCCCGCCACCCCTACCCCTAGTCCTCACCCTAACCCAAACCGCTAATCCTAACCCTAACCACTAACCCCAGCCCCAAAGAGTACTCACTACTCATTACTCACTACCCACATCTGACTATTCGCTACTCGCTACTCACTTCCCACGACCCCCTACTCACTACTCACGATTCACTACCCACCATCCACTACTCACTACCCACCACCCACTACTCGCTACTCACTACTCCCTACTCACCTCACTACTCACTACTCACTCCTCATTACCCACTACTCAATTCTCGCTACTCACTAAGCACTACTTACTACTCCCTACTCACTACTCACTAATCACTACTCATTACCCACTACCCACTATCTACTACTCACTATTCACTACTAACTACTCATTGCCCACAAATCACTACTCACTACCCACTACTCGCTACTCGCTTCTCACTACTCCCTACACAATACTGACTACACAGTCTCAGTACTCAATACTCGCTACTCCCATACTCGCTACTCAATACTCACTACTCACTCTCCGCTACTCACTTTTCACGACTCACTACTTACTACTCCCTACTCACTAGTCACTACATAGTCTCTAGTCGCTAGTCACAACTCACTAGTCACTAATCACTAGTCACTACTCATTACCCACTACCCACGACTCACCAACCGCTTCTCACTACCCACTATTCGCTACCCACTTCTTATTACGCACTGCTCACTACTCCCTACTCCCTGCTCCCTCCTCCCTACTCATTACTCACTACTCGCTACTCCCTACTCGTAACAAATTAATCACTACCCACTACTCACTACTGACTACTCTCTATTCACTACTCACTACTCACTACGCCCTACTCGTTCCTCACTACTCACTACTCCCTACTCCCTGCTCGCTACTCACTACTCACTACTCACTGCCACTACCCAGTACTCTCTATTCATCACTACTCACTACTCACTACGCACTACGTACTATTCAATACTCACTACTCACTACTCACTACTCACTACTCCCTACTCGCTACTCACTACGCACTACTCACTACCCACTACTCACTACTCACTACTCACTACGCACTACGCACTACCCACTACCCACTTCTCACTAATCACTACTCGCCGCCCACTAGTCACTACGCACTAACTCACTACCCACTGCTCATTACTCCCTACGCCTTACTTAGTACTCACTTCTCGCTGCTCCCTGCTCGCTACTCACTACTCACTACTCGCCACTCACTACTCACTTATCAGTGCACACTACTCACTATTCATTACTCCCTACTCCGTACTCCCTATTCCCTAGTCCCTACTCGCTCACCACTCACTACGCACTAATTCACTACTCACTACTCACCACTCCCTACTCCCGACTCCGTACTCCCTACACGGGGGGAGGGATCCGAACCCCCCCCTCCTTTTTCCAACGCCAAGGAGGGGAGTGTGGGGGGGGGTCCGGACCCCACCCCCTTCAAGGGAGGGGGGTGGGGGGGGGGGGCCCATGGGGGGGGGGGGAGGTTCCGGACCCACCCCCCTTGAAGGGGGGGAGGGGGGGGGTTCTGGACCCCCCCCCCTTCAGTGTATTCAGGGAGATCCACTGGCGCACTTTCGACATCTGCGGACAGAGTAGCTGAACGAACTAGAGCGGAGGGCAGAAGAGGTTCCTGAGCAGCAGCGGCGTGATATGTGGGATCGAACTGACGCTCAAGAAGGATGGGCTTTGCTCAGAAGCTGCATGCACGAGAGCCTGAATAAGATCTTCCCGCCCGGCGACCCCCCTCGAAACAGTGCGAATGCGTGAGGGATGAGCGCGTGACACTGATCAAACGTCGTGCCCACTTGCAAGACACGCTCGGAGCACGAGCGAGCAAGGCCCTCGATGAGAGTGACCCCAACACGGCCGCATTCGATGAGGTGAGTTGTGACGCCGAAGGCAATTACGGGAGACTTAAAGGCATCTCGGAATCGGCATGCACAGAAGAGATGCAACCAGACGGCAATGCAGCTCGAGCAGGCATGGCAGAAGCGGGATATCTCGCAGGGGCACAGCCTAAACACGCCTTTAGCTAATGGAAGCGGGTCAACGAAGAGGTTCGCACACGCCACTGGCCAGAAGATGCCGCCCGACGAATCTACCGCAGGCTTGCGCAACAGGCAGAAGACGGAGGATTGGAACGCGTGAAGTTGTCTGGGCAGACAAAGATGGCGTCCGAGTGCCTATTCCTTCCCAAGCTCGTGGCACCATGCAGAGCTGTAGGTAGTGCGAAGCTGGATTGCCTTGGGCAGATGCGCTACTTACGACGCGCCCTGAAGAGGCGATCTGTTTCGCAGGGGGCGTCACCTTAAAGGTGCTGCTGATGGGAACCGACCGAACAAAGCCTTCAAATGAGGATGGCGCGCAGTATTTTATCCCGCGCACCTTGTCTCGCAGGTACAACCACCTCTTCACTTTAATCCGAATGGTCGGGTGTATAGTCATGGGCGCGGTGCGATCGCGCGCGCTCTTTCAGCCCCAGCACAACGGAGCGAGTGGTATCAAAGGCGTGATGATATTGTGCTCCTTCGGCGCGTTTGGCAGGAGTTTGTATGGGCAGGTGTTGAAACGGACCAGGCGAGGCAGTATCATCCGCAGCGCGGAAGTGCATGGACGCATGGGGGTCGCATGTAGTGACGAACTGCGGCGGCGCGAGCGCCTTCGCTTGCGCTGAGAGAAAAGGTGTGCATGAACTGCGCGAGCGTACAGCGAACCCTGATCAGCAAGTGTTTTTTTGCGCGCTACTGTGGAGCACGCCGCCGCGCACGTGAACGCGATCGATGGCGACGCGGATTTTCGGGCCGATCGTGGGACATCCATAGGGCATTTAATGGCTGCTGCTTATTTCGCAAACTGATTTGCCCAACGTGTCCAGGCATGGTGCGAAAAACCATGCCAGGCTAATTTCAGCTACAAGCGTCTGGCTGGGGCGAGTGCGGTTGCTAGGACCCAATTGACCCACGCATACATAAATATATGTACATATATACACACCCATGCAAGCCAGCATCAGGGCGTGGAGCAGCACAACTGGATCATGCTACCGGTCTGCTACCATGCCAATCATTGCATGCAGGGCACCCTTTGAGCGCGATCAAGGTCGCGCACATCGTGAACGTCACGGGCCCTGCGGCGTTTGCTCGTGCCCAGCAGTTGCGTGGAGCGTCTTTGGTCGGATTCACGGTCGACCGCGGCGCTGGGCTCCGTGGCCCCTTTTCGCTTTTCGACGGCGTGCTGCGCGCGGAGCTCCGCAGGGGGATCTGGGGCTGCTCGCGCAGGATGGCGCTCGCTCGGGCATGCGCGGCATCCACCGCTGCTTCTCAGGTTGAGGGGGGTGCTCTTCTTGTGGTTTTATTTCCAGCGTCTGGCCCGTCGGCTTATGCGCCCCCCGAAGGTTTCGCTGATTGATTGGGCAGCGTCGCTGTGCAAATTCTTCGGGGCCGATGGAAGGGGGGGCCGCAGTGGTGGCCGTCGATTGCTGCGCGAGGACAATGCAATCGCGCGTCGTGGACATCTCGCCCGCGGCCGTCGAGGTCCAGCTGCAGAGTGTCAGATGGGTCGGGTCCGTCGTCGGGGGGCCCGCCGACCATGAGCGCGCCCGTGTAGCGGTCCTCAGGGCTGCGAGGTTGGACGAGTGCGTCTAGCGCCGCCGTGGACGTCGCGGGCAAGGTCTATGGGCACACCGCGTCCCGGGCAAACAGTTCCTGAAATATCGAAAGAGAGTTGCGCGCGCAGTTGAGCGGTTCCGCGGGGCTTGCTGCCAGATCCAGGGCGCGCGTCCGAACGTGGGCTGCGTGAGTGGCCGGCGCGACTCGCGACGCGGTTTCGAACTCTTCGCGTATATCGCAGCAGAGGCAGTTTTGCTCACGAGGTTAAGCTTGGCAAGCCCATGCAACGCACATGGCTAGAGCAAGTGCACGACCATGGCGCTGCAGCACGGGGGCGCGTCGCGCGCGATGAGGGGGCGGAGCGCGCCGTAATGTTCCAGCATGCGCGAGTGGCGCGATGGCGCGACCCGCGGCGCCGCTTTTCCCGCCGCGAGTCGCGTTTCGCCAGCGTCGAAGCAAACGTTCGCTCGCCATTTGCGCGAATGCTTGCTCGGTGCGCGTGTGTGTGTGTGTGTGTGTGTGTGTGTGTGTGTGTGTGTGTGTGTGTGTGTTTGTGTGATTTCGTTTGCGAGTGGGGCGTCGCATCTGAGGCGCGCCTGGGCAGTGGCGAATCAAACGCCGATGGGGGCTGCCCGATCCGATCCACGTTTTTTTTTTTTTGGCTTTCGGGCCGGGCTTGATCCGCCGCGCGAGCGCGGGCGCCGCGGCGACGGGAGCCGCGGGCTACGCGTGCGCGCCCCGTGTGCATGGGCGCGCGTCATGAACGGCGGCCGCAGGTGAATCTGGCAGGGTGGGCGCTGAAGGCAGCTGGGGCCCGCCCGCGATCTGGCGCCCTCGCAGCTGGCGCTGCGGCAGCTCCACCGTCGCAGCGGGCCCGACGAGGGGCGTGAACGCCTGGGCCCCGGCCTCGCCGCGGGAACGCTGGTCGTGGGTTGCCGGCCGATAGCGACGAGACGCAGACACTCCAGAGGGCGGCTCGCGACAACGCGCAGATGGCCCGACGCCTGGCGGGGGCGATGTGGGACTTGCACTCGGCGGGGGGGGGCGGCGGGGGCGGGGGCGGCCCGCGCGGGGGCAGTCGAGGAGGGGGGGGAAGGGCCCGGGCAGCCCGCGCGCGCGCCGCGACCTCTCGAGGGGCCATGGGCAAGCGGCATCGCCGAGCTCGCCCCGGGGCGCCTCGCCGTGCCCGAAATTGCGGTCGATCGCGCGCGACGCCTGCGCGTGTGAGTCGCGATCCCACGCGCTTCAGGATCGAACCGGCCTGCGCAGAGCGCGGCCGGCCGAATAAGTTCGGGCTGCAGATCGCGCGCGCTGCCCTCGGAGCGGGCGCGCGCGCGCGGGCGCGGGGCTCGCGGCGGCGGTCGACGAAACGATGGGGGCAGATGCCGAGCGGGGCCTTGCCGCCGATCGAGCCCGAACCGATCGCGATCCAGCAGTTTCGCCGAGCGGCCCGCCAGGCGATGATGCGCGTCGGCGGGGGGCCCGCGCAGGGCTCGGCGCCGCCGGCGCCGCCGGCGCCGCCGGAGAGGGCCCTGCAGAACCGGCTTCGAAGGCGCCAGCAGATGCGGGGCGTTCAGCGCTGAAACTAGAAGGACTCCGTCGGCCGGTTGAGAAGGGAAGTGCCTGTGCTGTTGAGATGCGAGGGAGAATGCGTTTGAATTTGTATATGCGCTAGTGGGAGGTGTGATGGTGTGTCTCCTGCCATATTTCAAACATGTGCTGGGCCGTCGCGCTGGTGGGCGAGTTTCTTGAGATATCTCAATCATGTTTTTCGCCATCGCCATGGTGTGGGTACTTCTCGATAGATTTCATTCATGTGCTGGGCCATAGCGCTGGTTGGTCTGTCACTTGACATAACTCTTACACGTTTTGGGCCTTCAAATCTGGTGGGCGTGTCCCTGGATATATGTCAAACGCGCGTTGGGCCATCTAACTGGTGGGCGTGTCCCGCTATATTATATACAAGTGCTGGGCTATCGACCTGGTGGTCCTGTCCTTTGATTTATTTTGTGCACGAGCTAGGCCTTTTCTCTGGTGGTTGTGTCTCTTGATATACTTCAAGCGTGTGCTGGGCCTTCTTTGGGGTCAGAACGCCTCATGATGATAAGCCGCGCTGCCCGCCCGCCCCTTCGTTAAGCACTTTAACACCTTGGCCGATGATTTTCTGCGCGCTCTGTCAGACTTTAATGCGGCTGTAACGTATGGGCGACGTAACGTAGCACTTACAGTTGCATCGAGGCCGCATGCATGCTATATGATTGTTCATCATTGCGAGCACGTGATGCGCGTAGTCGGAGCGATGTTGTAAGCAATGCCCTATCGTCCACAAAGCATGCACCTGAAGTGACATTCGGGGGTCTGGGTGGTTGTGCCAAAGCGTTTCGCCCCCTTTTCCTCTATGAAACTTCGGAGGACCGAAGACGGCTTAGAAGTAGACGAGGGGGCCAAGGCTCTGTAGGTCACCGTAGGCTCCCTCAGGCGTGCCCACCGCCTCGCCTTGAACAGAATCAGCAACCCTGTTGGACGCTGACAGGCACCCACCGTTCCAGGCCCGCGCATTCACGCGCTGACGCCGACTTGCTGCCGAGGTCGCTCGCTCGCTCGCTCGTCCTCCTCGTCCTCCTCCTCCACCTCCTTTCCATTTCTCTTCCCCCCTTCCCCCTCCCCCCTACTCGCCGTCCCCCCCGCGCCCGCGCTCCAGGGGCTGCTCCAAACAGGCGTCCCGGAGCCGAGGTGGCAGCAGGCCCGCGCCTCCCCCTCCCGCCCCGGCCGCACACGCGCCCCCGCGCCCCCGCGCCACCGACGTCGTCCCCGCCGCTGCCGCCCGACCGCCGGCCAGCCGTTTGCAGTCACCGACGGGCCGCCGAAGTGCCGTCGATGGGCCGCCGCCGTGGCGGCGGAAGGCCGGCCCAAACGCTCCGCGGAAAGTTTTGGGCATTTTCCCCGGAGGTCGCCGACCAAGACCTGGCAATGGGAATGCCGAGTTTTTTCTCTCGTTATTTTACGTGTACGCATGGCCTCGACTAGCGAACAGGATGGGTGGTGGGTTCGTGGAGAAATGTAATGTGCAGTGGTGACGATGGCCCCCATAGAACATTGCATCTCTCCGCTCCGCCCCCAGCCACGTCGTCGACGATGCTCGTTCGATGTTGCGCCACAGGCAACTTGGCCACGACGAGCCCCCAGGGGGCGAGACGCGTAGTTTTTTTCTTCGCTTGAGATTCGATCCGCAGCAAGCGCGGCGTCGTCGCCAGCCGGCCGCCCGCGGGTGCGGCCGGCCCTCCGCGGCGTGCTGTTCGTCCGCCGCCGTCCTTTCCGCCCCTCGCTTCTCTCGTGCCGTTCTGGGCCTCCCGGGTTGCCGTGCGCCCCGTCCTGCGGCCTGCGGCCAGCCGCTCTCCCTCTGCCCCGCTCTTCTCGGCGGAGGCGGCGGAGCTCTGGCGGAGAGCTGCCCAGACGGGCCGCGGCAGCCCCCGATCGAGGGCCTCTCTGCAGCGAACGCGAGTTTTGGCCTTGAGTTTTGTTTTGGTCTCCTGCCTCTCGGCCTCGTCCTCCTCCTCCTCCCCTCCCTGCCGTCGTGGCCCTGCTTCCTCATTCCTCCGCGTCGTCCTCTCTCCCCGTCGTCTTCCTCGCCCTCATCGTAGTTCCCGTGGCCCGCCCCCCTCCATCGCTTCTCCCTGTCCCTCCTGCTCCCGCTCCCAGTTATCCTGGTCCCTCTCGCCCTCATCGCCCTCCTCATCAGCCTCCTCGTCGCCCCTCTTACTTTTACCTTGTACCCTCCTGTCTGCGTGCCGCGCAACGGCCCACGAGTGTTCAGGAAACCTTGGAACTGCCCCACGACAGCCCCGAGAGGCTTCCGGAGAGCCCACATCGGCAGCATTGTTTGTGCAGGTGGTGGGGCGGGCAAAGGTCCAGCCCATGCGTCGTAGCCCGAACCGCACGCGATAGAGGGGTCCTCGTGCCATCTGCCATGTAAGCCAGATTTCTTGAACTCAATCGCATGCAGCGCGCCCCAAATGTGGTCAATCTTTCATGCGGGTACTCGGTAGGCCCTTACATCAGCTTGCATTTGGTGGAATGTTGATGGTGCTGGTTCCGTTTGGAGAGGAATGAGGTCGGGAGAGGAAGGATGTCGATTGGGCGGAAGATGAATCGACAGATGGGTGATGGCGATGGTGGTGGTGATGTTGACGATGCTGATTCTGCTGCTGCTGAGGAGGATAGTGATGGTGGTGGTGGTGATGATGCTGCTGATGACGATGATGATGACGATGGTGGTGGTGGTTGTGGTGGGACAGTACTGCTGTTGCTGCTGTTGGTGATGCTGTTGTTGTTGTTGCTGCTGCTATTGCTATTGCTGTTGTTGTTATTCATGCTCATGATGATGATGATGATGATGATGATGATGATGATGATGATGATGATGATGATGATGATGATGATGATGATGATTATGATGATGATGATGATGATGATGATGATGATTCTGAAGATGCCGGCGACGACAACGATGTTGACAACGCTAATGATGCTGACGATGATGCTGCTGATGGTGATGATGACGATGTTGACGATTCTGTGAATAATAGTGGGTATGATGAGTTTGGGGATGACGATAACGATGAGTACGGTTATGTTGCTCATGATGGTGGTTCTGATCAGCACGATTACGTCGATGATGATGTTTCTGTTGATGCGGATTTTGAGTATGATGCTTATTTGGATGAAGACGCGCGATTTGATACACGCACGGAAGGAATATGCTAAGAGGCGGACGAGTTGGATACGGATTATGTGAGGATCAGGACGGCGAGGATGATGAGAGATACACAGATTATGACGAGAGTTCGTTGAGACACACCAGCATGATGATGACGATGGGGATGAGAGTGAGGGTGATGGCAAGGACCAGGATGGGTTGATGATGATGGTGATGATTAGGATGAGGATGACGATGGTGATGGTGATGATGATGATGATGATGATGATGATGATGATGATGATGATGATGACTTTGATGCATCCAATTTAGATGAATTAAGATGATGATGTTGTGGATAATGATGTTGATGATGGTGATAATGCTGATGCTGATGCTTGAGCTTCTGATGATCATGGTGGTGTTGGTGATGATGGTGTTGATGATGAGGATGCTGCTGCTGATGATGCTGCTGCTGATGATGATGTGACGATGATGCTGCTGTTTATGCTGATGATGATGGTGATGCTGATCGTGATGATGATGGTGACGATAACGATGGTGCTGATGATGTTGATGATGTTGATTCTGCTGATGATGGTGCAGATGCTGCTGATGATGGTGATGACGATGAAGAAGGGTAAACTTATACTTATGCTTCATATGGTGATGATGATGCTGCTGCTCATGATGATGATGCAGATGATGCTGATACCGATCCTGATGCTGATGCTGATGCGGATGCGGATGCTGATGCTGCTTATGGTCATGATGATGGTTATGGTGATGATGATGATGATGATGATGCTGCTGATGCTGATGATGATGGTGATGATGATTATGATGATGCTGCTGATGATGATAGACACGATGCTGCTGATGATGATGATAATGATGATGATGCTGCTGATGATGATGCTGACGATGATGATGCTGATGACGATGATGATGATGACGATGATGATGATGATGACGATGATGATGATGAGGATGATTATAATGATGAAGGTGATGATGATGATGATGATGATGCTGATAGTTATGATGATGATGATGATGATGATGATGATGATGATGGTGATGGTGATGATGATGATGATGATGATGATGATGATGATGATGATTATGATGATGATGACGATGATGATGATGATGATGATGGTGATGGTGATGGTGATGGTGATGGATGATGATGATGATGATGATGATGATGATGATGATGATGATGATGATGCTGATGCTGATGATGATGATGATGACGATGGTGATGGTGATGGTGATGGTGATGGTGATGGTGATGGTGATGGTGATGGTGATGATGATGATGGATGATGATGATGATGATGATGATGATGATGATGATGATGATGATGATGATGATGATGATGATGCTGCTTATCCTTCTTCTTCTTCTTCTTCTTCTTCATCTTCTTCTTCTTCTTCTTATTATTATTATTTTGATGATGCGGAGGGGGAGGATGAGGAGAAGCAGGAAGAGGCTGATGCTGATTCTGCAGCTGCTGCTGATGATTATGCATATGATTATGATTACGATGAAGAGGACAAGGACGATGAGGAGGAGGACGAGGAGGAGGAGGAGGAGGAGGAGGAGGAGGAACAGGAGGCCGAGGCTGCTGCGCGCCGAACGCTGCGCGGGCGCGGCGCTCGTAGGGTCGCGCCACTCGTGCCCCGCAGGCTGCGCCGCAGCCGCGCAGGTGGCCGCGGCTGTCCTGCGCCGCGCTGTGGGGCGCAGCGGTGCTGCTGGCAGCGGGCTGTGCCTCCGCGGGCGCCCTCCGCCGCGGCCGCCCGCCCAGGACGCAGGCCCTGGACCCGCTGCGGTTGGAGGTCGCAGGGCGCCAAGCGCACACCACGCGGGGCCGGGCCATGCTCCTCTTTTGGGTGCAGCGTCAGGGGGGAATGGGCCCAGGGGGGGATGCATCGACCCCCAGTCGCCCGTTCATCGTTGACAGGGGGCCCGATAGCCCGCCCCGCCGGGGAACGCGCGGTCTCGCAATCGGGGCCTATCGCCGATCTATCGACGACTTGGCATCGCTCGGACGTGTGCATTTTGTCCTTCGGCGAGGGCCATCGAGGAGCATCCTTGATCATTTCTGCACGCGCGAAATGGGTACTGAAAGAATGGGTACAATGCCCAACATCGGATCTTGTTCATTTTGAACAGGGCTCGCTGTCCACGCCGCCGCGGCCTGTGTCCATTCGAGACAGAAGGCCGCCTGTCCAACAGCGGCCGCTGTTGGTTCGGGACAACATTTGTTGTTGGGCGTAGTGCCCATTTTTTCCGTACCCATTTCGGGCGTCCAGATCATTTGGCGAAAAAACCACACACGAAACCAACAAAAGAAAACACAGGGAATGGGCGTCCGAGCGATGGCCAGACGATACATCGCCGAGACATGGTCGATCCCCCTGGTGTTCTGGGCCCAGGACCGGCGTGCGGGCCCTCCTGGCCAGGCCGGAGGGGGACCCCTCACCAGCCTTGGGCCCAAGATGGGCCGGGGCTCTCCTCCTCCTCCTCCTCCTCCTCCTCCTCCTCCTCCTCCTCCTCTCCTCCTCCTCTCCTCCTCCTCCTCCTCCTCCTCCTCCTCCTCCTCCGACAGGCCACCTACCCTGGGTCGGGGCTGGACAGACCTCCTTCAAGAGGAACAAAAAAAAAGCACACAGACACAATTAATCGTCGAGTCCCAGGAAAATGTGGGAAAATATGGGGAGTGGTGGGGAAGACAAACACCCCGAAAATATGGGGAAATATGGGGAATATTTTTACTTGTGTGTACTTATTTGTGTGTCCTGGGGCCCCTTCACTCCTACCCTGACACGTCGATTAGTGAATTGGCCGTTTTCAGTTCGCGGGAGGGCGTCACGGCAGTCATTTTTGCGGGTCCAGGTCCCTCGGTTTCGGTCCCAGGCCGTTTTCACTGAGGGGAGGTCTGTTAAAGGGAGGTTTGTCCAGCGCCGAGTGGGCTTGGGCAGGGTTGGCGTAGTGGGCAGTCGGCGTCTCGTGAGGAGGGCGGCGACGATGCCGTTCAGCTGCGGAGCGCGAACGGGTCCGCGGTGGCCACGCACGGGGGCGCTGCCGGACTCCAGAGGACACCGGAGGAGAGGCTCGACGCGATGCGGCTGGCCCGCAAGGATCTGGGGGAGGGAGGCCAGCCAGTTTTGCCATGGCTCTACAGGCCTGGTCGATCCCGGCCCACATGTTGGTCGGTCATGCTGGCTCTGGGCCGTAGGCTGGCCGTGGGCCAGGAAGCCCTATCCGCCAGGAGATTGCCGGGCCCCACACGGGGCCGTCGTGAGTCGGGTGGTTCGGCGGCTGCAGCAGGGGTGGATCGCTCAGCGGGCGGAGCGCATGAAGTACATGTAATTCTAGACGCTTTGCGTTGTCCCACCAGGCCGTCCAAAAACGATGCCCAGACGAGTTGCCCAAATCAGGGATGTGGAAGATAATGCAGTGGAGTAGAGGGCTGAGTAAGACGTAGCACCCCAAGAGGGGGAGGGTGGAGGAGCAATCGGAGGGGGAGCAGGAACAGGAGCAGGAGGAGGAGAAGGAGGAGGAGGCGGAGGAGGAGGAGGAGGAGGAGGAGGAGGAGGAGGAGGAAGAGGAGGAGGGCGAGCAGGAAGGTCTAGAAACCTCCATGATGCCTCTCGGAGTCTCATCTGATTTCTTTCGAGAGCTTCTTGGAATCCTCTTGGGGCGTCTTGGGGGTCCCCTGTCAGTCCCGGGCGCCTCTTGAGGTGTCTTGGGTGCCTCTAGGGGGCCTCTTGGAGCCTGTTGGGGGTCTCTTGGGATCCCCTTGGGCCGTGGGGGCCTCTTGGGGCCTCCTGGGGACCTTGGGGCCGTCTTGGTGCGCCCTTGGGAGCCTCGGGGGCCATCTTTGGGCCACCTGGGGGGGCTCCTAACGTAGGGTTCCCCCTTCCCCCAGAGGCCACAATGCGGCCAAGACCTTCATAACACCAGTTGTTTTGGCCTCCTCGCCGGGGCCTCCAAGGGCGTCCTGGCTGCCTCTGGGGCTGGGGGTCTCTTGGTGTGAGTGTTCATTGGTGTATGCAGCATGTTATGTAGCACGCACGTTTCTGCTATCGTTTTGGCTCAGGCGCTTTGACCATTGCTAGCTACGCAAGCAGTAAAAGACTATCATCCGTATCCAGATGCCAGCGATATCCGCACGACAGTGGCAACGGAACGGTTCATTCCGCGGCTGCGCCGGCAGCGCCGGGGGCCTTCTGGCCTTGGCCGCAGCGCGGCTTCCTGCAGCGCAGGACCCTCCCATCACCCTGTTCCTCTACTACATGCTCGTCCTCGTCCTCGCCTGTGGTTTGTTCCTCAGCCCCGGCAGCCCAGCAGAGACTGATCAAGCTTTGGAGCGCGACGACAGCTACATTCCAGGCTGGGACGGCAACCCTGCGTCATGGATTACCTACAAAGAGGAGTTTCGCATATGGACGCTAGGGCTGCATTCGGACGTGCGGTACAGCATCGCGGCGAGAATGATCAGGAAACTCCCTAGGGAACAGCGCGCAGAAAAGGCCCAGACGCTCAAGAACGGAGACCTGCAGCCGTATCGAGGCCAACACGAAGTGCGAACCGACCCACCTGAAGGCAAGGGGAAGCAGAGAGGCGAGATCATTGTGGAAAACATTCCCCCAGACCCAGAACGAGGCATCCGTAACATGATGGAGGCGCTCGAATCCCTGTTCCCGCCGAAGGTGTGCGGGAAGGCAGAGGCCATGACATATTTCTCCGAGACGCAGAAGTATGCACGTAGTGCGGGCGCCATGATTTCGGACTACATCGCGATCTTCGGCCAGGGAGTGACGAAGCTTGCCGAGGATGGTGTCGAGCTCACCGATGATTCTGATATTTTGGCCAGTTTTCCATGCGGCGGCTCAACGTTACGAGGGGCAGCGAGAGCGGCTCATTGGATGCAGCATTGCCAAGCGAGACCTTTCAGTTGCGAGAAGTGCAGGCCACGACGATGCGGATTTTCAAGATCTTCATATCAATGAACGTGGACACCCACAGCAGAGACGACCCTTCGAGCAGAAGAATCATCAGCAGCAGGGTGGCAAAGGACGGCCACCACCCAAAGCAGTCAATGTGACCGAGTACGAGGATGATGACGGCCTCGAGGATGACGAGGCCGACGATGATGGGATCGAGGGGCTGGCGCAGCGCGAGCTGGAGGCCCTGGCCACCGACCTCGGCGACATCAGCGAGGAGGAGCTCGACCGCGACCAGGCCGAGGCAATCGAGAAGGCGGCGGCCCAGCTCTCGGAGTTGCCCGAGGCGCTCGCCACGGTGCGACAGGCTCGCGATAGTCTCAGGAAGGGTGGCTCCTCGGGCTCTGGCGGCGCTGCGTTTGCCCCGCCGCCGAGACTGGGGCGCGGCCGAGGCCGATCCGTCGCCGGCAGGGGGCCAGGGCGTGGAGCTAAGTTCCAGCCGATCAAGGACACCCATGACAAAGCGCAAGAAGAACTCTCAGTGCCGTGTCTGTGACGGTTTCGGGCCAGTGGGCTGGCGATCCAGAGTGCCCTGGAGCACGAGAAGTTCGAGAAATGACGTTTGGGGCAGATCACGAGGACGAGGAGATCGAGGTCCGAGTGGTCGAGATGACATTCCCACTTGCCGTATTTCAGAACACAGCGGCCACTGGCCCATGCCCGATGCGCGAGGAGGGCGCGGTCGATTCGGCATGCGCCAGGAGCGTCGCGCCGTGGTTGGGCGAGCACCGCTGACACTTGAAGTCGCTGGGCCTCGACAAGCTCGCGATCTTCGGGCCCGTGAACGAGACCGTCAAGTTCGGGGACGGCGGTGCGCAGGACTCTGGTACTCTGGTGAGGTTCCTTGTGGCGGCAGCGAGAGTACGGCGTTCTATCAAGGCGCGCCTGCTGGGCATTCCAGGGTGCGACCTTCTCTTGGGACGTGGCCACCTGGAGTCCGCGCGCGCGCCGAGATCAACGCATCGCCGCCGGGGCAGATCGCAATTGGGCCTCGTGAGGCCGAGTTGTCCCAGGATCGTACTAGTGGACAGTGCATCTTGGATTTGAGCGCCGACGCGGTATGCGCAGCCATTCCAGGGGCGAGAGCGTTGCCGGCGAGCTACCCTGGAGGCTTCGACCGAGGACCGCGGGCGGCAAGACGGCGTCGATGATCATGGCACTCGCGCGCGGAGCTCAGGCGGCCACCTCAACCTGAGGTGAGAGGCTCGGCCCGACCGCGAAGGCAGTCAAGGAGGTCGCCAGTGTCTGCGATACCGAGAACATCAAGGAGGCGACGTTTCGTGACAGGCCTTTTGGGGGCCGCCATGGCTACATCTGTGCTAGTTCAGCTACCTTCGCTTGCTCATGTGGCACAGGCGCTTGCGAGTTGTGAGCGGCGAGGTCTCTTTCCTGGCTGCAAGTGCGATGTGGGCATGGTTGGCTTCGCCGAGGGGGACTGCGGGAACCTCGTTCAAAACGCTAGCTGGCGCTTCATGAAGCGAGGCCAGCAGGAGCAGAACCTTGCCGGGGAAACCATGGCAAAGACGCTGCACGATCACAACGTGAGTGAGCACGAATAAGGTGAAGAAGCTGATTCAGCTCGGGCAAGCAGATCACGTGCATGCGCAGGCAGTGGCAGCTATTCGACGAGGGCGCCAATGGAGTTGCAGCCTGTTCGAGCTGGCGCGTGGGCCAAATGACCTGCTGGGGAGAGGGTTCAACGACGCTGCGAGACATGATCGAGCCTTTCGATTTCACCCACCTGGGCGCGGCCTGCGGAAGAGACGACCCGTGGGGGATATACTCGTGAAGAACATGGCGGAGCATAAGCTTGGGGTCATGCCAGTGGTCTGAATCAGTATCCAATGCGCGCCGTGGCGCACGTGCGAGCGGCTCTGGAACTCCAGAACGCTGGCCCGAGGAGTTTGTCTGATAATGGCCCGACAGGAGAATGAGGCGATTTTGCGCAACGTACTTTGGCTTCTGAGGGAGCTACGACCTCATGCATTTCCGACGGGCTGCGAGCTGCGCTTCGTGAGCGACATATGGAATGACATGTGTAAGCCGAAGGGGCTCTTTCAGATCCAGGGCATTCTTAGATTACGAGTTGTGTTTGACGGTTGTCGGTGCGGCAGCAGGGCCAGCGATGGGGGGGCCTATTCTGCAGGGGTTCAAGGTCCTGACTAACCGCCGGTCCATTGTCGGTGGGCTCTTCAAGAAGTGCGACGGGAATCGTGTCCACGCGAAGGTGCTCGGCGGCAAAGACCTCAGTCAGACCGGCCGCTGCGCTGTCTCGCTCGCGAAGGACATCGCCTCGGGGCTGCGGGCGGTTCGCCGCGGCTACGACGTCATGCTGGTGGCCCGCGACAGGGGGGTCACTGCCCGCGCCGAGGCGGTTGTCGACGCAGTGGGCCCGGCAGAGCGGGTGCAGCTCGAGCGCGCGGTCAAGCTGGCGCGCGCCAACGCCGGCCATCCGACCGCCGCCAGCCTCGCGAGGGCCATTCGCTTGCAGCGTGGCTCGGCTTATGCGGTCGCGGCAACGGAAGCTCACCGCTGCCCCGACTGCGAGAGGCGGAGGCCTCCGGGCGTCTCCGCGCCTGCAGTCCGGAGGTCCAAGTTCCGCGAGTTTGGCGATGGAGTGGCTTCCGACCTGATGGTTCTCGCTGATGTCAAGGGCAACCAGGCTCAGCTGCAGAACGAAGTCGACATGGTCACCACCTTCCAGCTGGTGGCCCCGCAGGCCGACAAGAAGCCTATCACGTCATGGACGGCGTTACTTACGAGGTGGATGGGCTGGGCTGGTCCTCCCCAGGCGAGCATCGCAGACCTTGGTGAGTTCGCGGGGGAGTTCCGCAGCGAGCTCGAAGGCATGGGCGCCGAGCTCGTCGCCACTGCCGCCCTGGGCCCCGCGCAGAACGGCATCTGCGAGCGGCGCGGCGGCGGATGGAAGGCCATCATCGACAAATACCAGGTCGATTTTACCGTCCCAGGTGCCGTGGAGTGGTTCTGCACCGTGGTCAACTGGGCGACGAGCAGCAAGGTGGGGCCGTCTGGGTATAGCCCGGCGCAGTGGGTGCTCGGACGCGGCTACCGCCTGCCACCAGCGCGCCTAGGAAGATGAGACGTTCCAGCGGCGTGTGGGCATGCTTGCTGCCGCTCAGCGCGCAGCCCTCGCAGTCTGGCCAAGAGTCGCGGGCAGGTTTCGTGGCCATCGAGCCTCAACTTCAGCATTGGCGACCAGGTCTTTTACTGGCGTGGCCTGAGCAAGGCCGAGAAGATGTGGAACTTCAAACGGTATGGCCCTGGAGTTGTCATTGGCAACGAGGGGGGCAACGTGTGGGTTTCGCACCAGAACGCCACCCTCAAGTCATCCCCGCCACATATGCGGCACGCGCTTCCGGAAGAGTGCGTGCCCTGGAACGAGATATCCGACTCTCTGGCCCACGGCGACGAGCCCGAGTTCGAGGAGGGCGCGCCCTGCATGGGCCCCCCCCGGGGACGGGCGCCGATTGCTGCGACATGACCGTCGACGACGAGCTCGTCCCCCGGCCCTGCCAACATTCGCCCCGCTGCAGGTCGGCGTCAGACTTGGGAAGCGCAACGGGCGGTTTGGCCATCGCCCCGATGGCTCGGCCGAGAAGGGCCCCTCCCGCCAGCCCGACTTTGAGGCGTCGGGCCCTGATGCGTCGGCTGGCCCAGAGGCGAAGGGGCCGCGCATTGTTTCAGAGTCCGACTTTGAGATTCCAGTGGAGACGCAGCCAGGACAGCCGCAGCAGCAAGAGCCCGATCCAGTCTTAGTGGAGCCCGAGACGCCTTTCGAGCAGCCGATGTGCGACCAGGAGCAGGTCCAGTAGGCGCATTCCAGTCAGGTTCCGGACGCCTTCGACCCAGATCTTCATGGGCAGGAGCCCGAGACGCCATGAGTTCATCAGGGCGTTCCCGACCTTGACAAGGGCCTCGACGCAGACGACGGGCAGGAGACGCCATGCCCGCAACTGCATCAGGCGCCCGTGCTGGAGCCCGATGTTCCAGTCGTGGAGGAGCGTCGTCAGCTGCGGTGACCTCGCCACGACCCACTCGACTGTGTACCTACCAGCATTCGGCATAATCTCCAGGCAAGGAGGAGCGCCACGACCTACGACCCCCTCGACGACGTGCCGCTCAGCATCCGACGATGGCCTCAAGACCGACAGATCACCAAGAAACCAGGGTTGACGAGCACCTGATCATGCAGCTTTCCCTCAAGGAGTCGGTCGACTTTGATTATTCGACCCCGTGCCCGACCAGGTTCAGGCGCGGGGGCTTCGCGGGCAAGTCGAGGGGCAAGGAGCTGACCTTCAGGAACCAGTCGGGCGGCAACCAGGTCAAGGGCTATGGCTTCAGAGTGGGACACGTGGGTGGCGTTGCACGCAGCGCGGCGCTGTTCCAAGGAGGAGCTCGCCCAGCTCAAGCGCTCGCGGCCACCGCTCAAGGTTGTTGGCGCCAGGTGGGTCTTGATTGAGAAGGAAGCGGATGCCTTTGAGGCGAGGCTGGTGGTGCAAGGGTGTCGCGGGAACGATTTGGGCATTCGTGCCGACGCTCCGACTGGGTGCCCGGACGCATTTTGGTTTGCGGCGGGGTTTGCAGCTCAGCATGGGTGGGGTGTCGCTTTTTTCGACGCCGAGAGCGCTTGCCTGCGCGGAGAGGGCATCGACCGATCTTTAATGATCATGATGTCGCTAGAGAATCCTCCTCCGGGCGCCGTTCCAGGACATATCTTTTTCGCGACAGGCAGCGTCTGCGGCGCGAAGGATGCTTGCAGAGCCTGGTATTTGTACTGGAAGTCAGTTCTCAGCGAATGCCAGATCCATAAGCAAGCTGGGTCGAGGCTGTGTACTACGTGGCTCACCAGGGTGAGATCTTGCGGGCCATTCGCTCTCATGTGGGCGACGTGTCCTTCGCCTGGGAGCAGTGCATCACCTGCGTCCACAAGGTCATGCCGGAGCTCGAGAAGCGTCTGCACCTTGCCGAGAAGGTCGGTGACTCCGACTACTTGGGCGCGAGGGTGCAGGGGGCGCCGGGGTTCATCAGCGTGACCCGGGAGCAGGCGATCAAGGCGATCGAGTATATCCCCATCGACGCGAACCGCATGAATATTCCCGAGTCAGAGGCGACGCCTGAGGAGGTCAGTAGCTTCAGGGCGACCAACGGCCAGGCGCGGCAGGTTGCTACGAGGTCTCGTCCGAGTGTGGTCTGCACACAGAACCTGACGGCCCGGCGCATCAGCGAGCTCAGCGAGCTCAAGGGCCAGGACCTCGTCGACCGAGCTCAAGCAGAGCCCGACGCTGGGAGTTCGGGTCGTCCGCGGTCGAGTTCGTGTTCAACTGGCGCAGCTGGCGTTCTATGGGGACTTCGCCTTCGCCAGTGCCGAGGTCGAGCGGTCGCCGCGCGGGATTGAGATTCAGCGAGCTGATTCCGCTTACCCGGTGTTCAGGACGTGTCCGGAGGGTGGTGCGAAGCACCCTCGGCGCACAGGTGTTGACGGAGCTCAAGATGGCGGCGAAGCTTGGAGGCCCACCAAAGTTGAAGGACGTGGGGCGGCAGGCGGATAACATCAAGATGACGACCTTCGCGGACAGGAAGAAATTGGTGGAGACGGTGGAGATGGGCGCCAGAGTTGCACTGGAGAGTCGCCTGAGGAATGTGGTCAGCATGCTGAGGGGGACCTTCGCCCCTGCAGCTTCGATTCTGCGGTGGATTCCGATTCGGGCGATGGTCGCGGACGCTCTCTGTAAGGTGATGCACGCGGGTATGTTGATGGCATTCTCGTCCGGGCGCGACGTAAAGTTTTCAGCCCCGGTCCCCGTGCCGAAGAAGCTCGTCCATGTGCTGGCGATGGCAGCGACGGCCGTGCCGGGAGTCAGCTTTGACTTCTGGCCGATCGAGAGGACGACCAGCAGTCGGTCCAGCCAGGACCTAGCCATCATGCAGTCGTGCAGTCGTGAAGGCTATGCAGTAAATTGGTTATGTTACTTGCAGGGTGTGGCTTTTGGAATCGCGTTGGCTCTCTGTTGTCTGCTTGTGTATGTTGTGGTTCAGAAGGTGGCGCCCATGCAGTCCTGGGCGACAGATGGAGATCAGGATCGCGCCGACCGCGCAGCTCGCAGCCCAAGACGCAGCAGGTTGACCAGCAGATAGAGATCAGGACCGAGCCCCAGCACAAGAAGGATATGGGCTACGGCAAAGTCAGGTCAGGGATGTGATGACGATGAGCCAGACTATGTATGTACGGTGCTTTTCTCCAGGCTCGAGGGGTCATGACCCCGTTCGCAACATCGAGGGTGACGCGTTTTGTGGACAGCTCTGCGATCGTATGAGCACTCCGTGATTGTGCTGTGCTCCACCGACGATGTCTACGACTGTGTGAGCACTCATCGTGCTGTGCTCCACCGAGTACGGACACCATTGTGAGCTCCACTTCTCTTTGTTCGAGCCCGGGGTGCGCTCCGATTTCCGTATGAGGCCTCTTTGTCGGCCGTGAGCCCCGCTGGGCTCTTGGGCGACGGCTGCCGTATTCCCTGAATCGTCCCAGCTCCCTGAATTTACGAGTTTTTTGCTGTTTATTGCCATGCATGGTGAGCTAAACTAGCATGCCGACCAAACCTGTAGGAGCTATGGGCCCGGGTCTGTAGCAGACGAGCCGTCAGCGGCCGGCCGATTCTTTGATGATGTACACGGCGTGTAGATCAGGGAAACGTGCAGCGTACTTTTCGGAGGAGTGTGAGTGATCAGTTGTGTACGAATCATGTTTTGTAGCAGGCGCGTTTCTTCTATCGTTCGGGCTCAGGCGCTTTGGCCAGCTTTGGCTACGCAAGCACCGCAATGCTTTCACCAATATCCAGATACCAGCGATATCTGTACGACACGTGGGAGCCTCTTAGATGCATCTTGGGGGCCTCTTGAGAGCCTCCTGGGGCCTCCTGCGCACCTCTTGGGGCCGTCCTGTGGCGCTCTTCGGAGCCTCGGGTGCCATCGTGGGGCCATCGTGGAGGAGATCGATCAAAAAGGAGGGGGGTCCTTGATGAGACCCCCCAGAAGGCCAGCAGGTGGCCCAAACCTTCGTGACATAAATGTGTGTCGGCTTTCTCGCCGATGTCTCTTTGGGCGTCAACTTTGAACGGAGGTTAAGTGCGAGCAAAGCGAGCTCTCCGCCGCTCTTGTGGCCCACAGCGGCGCGCCGCGTTACATGCTCTAGCGCGTATTCGTGTGCTATCGCTTTCGACGAGCGGAAATTCGCCCTTCTAGCTTCCACCCTTTTTACATCTTCCATCCATGCCCCATCTTTCTGCTACGCGGTCTTACTTCAGCATGGTTGGGCCACGGGGGCGCTGAAGGCGTATGGTACGGCTTGGATTGCCATATTTCTGTCGCGCTTGTCGCGGAGCTGACCTCCCTACCGTGTGGCTGCCTCTAACCCAGCTGTCTGCGGCAAGTTCCACGACCGTGCCTGGGTTGTGGGTTATAAACCTCGTGGGTGTTCGTTGGGATCTATTGGGGGACCTCTCGTGGGCCTCTTGGAAGCAGTCCTGAAACGTCTTCTGGGCCGTTTTGTGGCCTGTTGGGGGTATCTTGGGGCCTCTTGCGGTCCTCTTGGGGGCATCTTGGGGTTTCTTGAGCGCCTCCTGGGGTCCCCAGATGCCTCTTGGGGCGGGCGGTTCGGATTGTCGATTCGCGTTCCTTTTTTGGGCTCCCTTTTGGGGCCGTTTTGGGGCCGTCTTGGGCCGTCTTGGGCGCGTCTTGGGTCGTCTTGGGGCGCTCTGAGGCCGTCTTGGGTGGGCCGTTTTGGGGTGGTCTTGGGGGCCTCTTGGGCCGTTTTGGAGCGTCGGGCAGCCCGAAAGGCCAGAAAGCCACAGTCTTTCAACACGCAAGGGAAGTCAATGATTTTTACCCTTGGGGGCTCTCTTGGGAGACCTCTTGGAGGCCTCTTGGGGCGCCTTGGAAGCCCCTTGCGCCATTTGGAAGCCATTCTGGGTGTTTTCGAGCGATTGTTCGGCGACTCGGGGCCCTTTTGGGCCGTCCTGGGTCGTCATGGCCGCCCAGGGAAGCGCCGTGGCCGCCGAGGGACCCCCCGCGAGCATGGCCGCTGCACGTGGCGAGGCGCCTCCCGAGGAGGTGGGGGCCCTTCGGAAGATTACGGAGTCCCTGCCAAGCAGTACTTGGCATTCTGCTACGCCTCAACGTGCTAGGGGGCACGTTGGCAGATGCTACTCCAGATTTCGTAATAAAAGGGAGGGGGTCTGGATCCGCCAAGACAAGCCATTCCAGACCTCCCCCGTGGGAGAACCCTCCAAAACATCGTCCCCAGACCCCCCAGGCCCTCCAAGATAGCCTGGAAGAGACCCCCCCGAAATGAGACCCCCCTCCCTTTATTGCGAAATCTGGAGTACTATTCCACGGCGCAGTTCCGTGGACTGCTAACA